GGGTTATGAGATGTGAGGTGAAATGAAGAGTCAAAATGATGACATGGGAATTGCTAGAACATTCCTTGGGACAGAGTAAGAAAGGAGCTTCTCTTTCCCATTCAGTGCAAAGGCTCATCCCAGCCACACAGGAAAGGCCAATCACTACCTCTAAAAGTTGGTCTGTTCCTTAACATCCTGTGACAAAAAAGTTAACTGATACCTTTGTGCTAAGATTTAAGAATTTCTGTCCTTGTATCTTTGGTTGTGAGTCTAGCCTTTAAGAGCTGAGCCAATTGTCCAGCCCAGGAGAGACTACCACTGTAGTGGGTAGCCATTCCAGCTTTGATCTGGAAGTTCCAACCCCCATTGAGACTTCGGCAACTGTCCCGCCTACAAGGTGGGGCCAAGGGAGGCGCCTGGGGATCTGAGAGCTGGATTGGCGGGCACTCTCTCTGTTGCGGGACCCTGGACTGGAGAGGTGGACCGAGCAGAGCTCCAGAGAACACTGCTGGACTGTGATACACCTTCCCCAGACTCCGCGACCTACCTATTCCTTAATTTGTAAGTTACGCCATTAAATAAATCTCCTTTTAACTACGTGGAGTGGCCTTAATAATTTCACCAATATACCACCTTCCTTAGACCAGTAAATTCCTAACAGTATTCTAATACTTAACCACAGGCAAGGGTAGATCTTCCTCCCATCAAAGACGTTCTCACACCCCCAACTCTTTCAAAGAAGTTCCCTTTTTTACAGCAGAAGGTGACCATCACAGTCAAATGCATGGGGTGCTGAGCCTAGTTGATACATCTATAATACAAACCCCTAACTGAAGGCTCAGGGAACATTGCAGAAGAGGGTCAGAAAGAGTCTAAGAGTCAGGGTGCCAAGAAGTCTGCTGTGAGATTGTGCCTTGTAGATATGACAGGGAAGCTACACCAGGAAATCTCAACAACATGACTGCCTAAACCAGACCTGAACAATGACAACACCAGTTGACATGGCGACCCAGATGGGGCTTTACCCTTAAGGAAGCCTTATAAGCAATGAACAACTTCTGATAGAGGGAGAATTAGTCTTCCCTAGGGACGAGCCCCTTAATTGGTTCCCCAATATTGAGTTGTTTCTTGCTTATATGTATATAGAACAACAATGGCTGGAGAAGAGGAGGCTGTGAATGGAAAAGGGAAGCAAGCATGGGAGGGTAGGTAGAAGGAGAAGCAGGAAATGATTTATTATATTTTAATTAAGTTAAAAAAGAATTTCTGTCTTTGATGCTCATTAATAAGTTTTTTTTTCCATTTTGTCTTTTCAGTGCTCATGTGCTCATACAGTAGTTTTTTTTTTGTTTGTTTGTTCGTTTTGCTTTTATGAGACAGGGTTTCTCTGTGTAGTTTTGGTGCCTGTCCTGGATCTTTCTCTGTAGACCAGGCTGGCCTTGAACTCACAGAGATCTGCTTGGCTCTGCCTCCTGAGTGCTGGGATTAAAGGCATATGCCATTGCCACCTGGCACATACAGTAGTTTTAAAATAAGAAATTATTTAATGAAAGTAAAAAAGGGTAAGTGAATTAATGAAAATTCATAAAAGGTATATTGTAACCATTCCTTATTCAGCTGGGTGCATTAGTTAAATGGTTTGGTGGCACAAGCTATAACTCAGTTGTTCTGAATTTCAAGTTCAAAGCCTTGCCTGGATTGCAGAGTGAATTCAGTGTAGTGAGATGTTATCTCAAAATGTGTCCCCCAAAAAAGGGAAAGAAAAAAAGGGTGAGGCACATGGAGTGCTTGAGTGAGGACCTAGGCTGGACCACAATATTGAAAAACTCATAGAAAGATTGTAACAGATGAGGAGGAGTGTCCCAGAGAGCAGCATCAGAGATTAAGGAGACACAAACATGGAAAGCTTATCATGGTGAGGGCAGGATCACTGCCTGACTCATGAAAATACTCTACAAATCTACGAGTGTACCCTACCTATCTCAGCACCCAAGAGTGGACCATAAAAAATGCACTTTCAAGTCCCTGAATGTCGGCTTGTGTCGTCATTGTCCTATCTCCAGAGTGCACAAGGCCACGTCCATCCATTGTAAAGAAGACTTTGTGTGATGTAAAGATTCTGGACTCTGCACTTGAAGGGATTACTAGGAAACACTTGAAAGCACCCTTGCAGGTGAGAATGGGTGCACTTGTGGTTTCCCATAGGTACAGGTGTTGGATACTTAATCCCCAGGCAGTGGGGCTGTTTGGGAAAGCTGAAGAAAATAAGACACGGGATTTTGTAGACAGTTTGAGTCACTGGGGTTGGGTGCTGAAGTTTGCTAGATTGACCCCATTTCTGCCTGTTGTCTGATTCTTGACTGTGAACTATACGGCCAGACGCCTCACATTCCTGCTGCTATGCCTTGGCCACTATGCTGGACGGTGACTCCTTGAACTGAGAGCCAAGTAAGTCCTTCCTCCCTTAGGTCCCTTCTTGTTAGCTATTTGGTCACGGTCATGAGAAGAGTGATGCAGTGCACTGCATGTGGGGCAGGGAGAAGCATGACTGTCTATTCATTTTAATATACATTATATGTGTCAGAACCGCTGCTCTGTGGTCACTAATCCCATTCGTTTTCCTTTTGGACACAGCTACATACGTTTCCTTGTAGTTGATGGAAGGCATTTTTTTTTCCTTTCCCATTAGTTGCATTGTAGCACATGGTTTTTTTTTTTTTTTTTAAAGTGGGAAAGACTCAGTCATTTGATTGACCCCACCCAGCTCCCTCATGGCCCAAATGGAGTCTAACAGAACAATTGCTTTTTTTTTTTTTTTTTTCTGAGACGGGGTTTCTCTGTATAGTTTTGGTGCCTGTCCTGGATCTCGCTCTGTAGACCAGGCTGGCCTGAAACTCACAGAGATCCTCCTGGCTCTGCCTCCCAAGTGCTGGGATTAAAGGCATGCACCACTGCCACCCGGCAAGATCCTTTTTTTTTTTTTTTTTTTAAGTAGACATAGAATTTCAGGCCATGTCTTCCATATCCAGGGCCAAGGTTACACTTCAGCGTCATCATCCACCTCCACAATTTTACCAAGAGGTGAGCAATTCCCACCCTCCACTTCCATTTCTGTCTCTTACTGATTGCTATTCAGAACCAGAGATGGTTTTACTCTACCCCACCGCTCCTCCAAATGGTTTCTCTGTGTAGGCCTGGCTGTCTGGAACTCACACTGTAGACCAGGTTGGCCTGTCTGCCTCTGCCTCCTGAGTGCTGGGGTTAAAGTGGTGCTTGACAACTGCCTGGATTACTCTACACTCTTGTTTAACAGCTATGGTGGTTTCCACTTCTCACCTTTCATAGAGCGTCTGATTTCTCAGTTTTGAGGAAAGGGATATCTAGAGGAGGGGAAATGTCTTTTCTTTAATTCAGGATTCAGAGGGCATAACACAGGCTAGAAGATAATTATTATCCCAAATGATTATTTTGCTGCAATATTGTAACAGTGAGGGCATTTGTGCCACAAGTCGGGGTACCTTGGGATGGAGTTTCTGCTGTGGCTTCTGTTAGCTCTGACTGGGGCTTGCTGTGTTACTTTAAGCATATTGCTTCATCTTTGAAGTCTTGTTTTCACCTGAGAAAAACAGATAATCACAGAAAGTACCTTGCGAGGTTGTTTGGAGAGTTGAATAATTGTTAGATGACGGATTTGGTTCTGGAAACTTCCTGGTTTAAAGGAGAAAAACAGCAACAAAAAGTTTTCCAGACCACGAGAAGCAAAACGACCTGTTTTTTCAGTCAAGTGTGGTAAATATTTCTTCCCTGACTCCACTACCTCTGCATGAACTTAAAGGTAAACAGATCCTGTGCTGGGCCTCACAGTGAAGTCAGCAAGGACTTTTTCCTGCCAGCTAGCTCCTGTGTTTCAGTTGCTGGAGAGATTGCTTTACTGTGGAGACTGCTCCACATTCAGAAGCCCATTCAGCTTCTCCCCGTTCATTTCAAGCTCAATCTAGAAGCATCCACCAACAGTTGCTTGCAATGAGTAAGCTAAACTGGGATTGCTTAGCTCTCCATTCAGTAGTAACTTCCATGGCAGATTACACAACGACTGTGAAGTAGAATTCGTCCTTTACCTTGCTGCTTGTATTTGGATAATGTAGCAAAGATACCAAGTCTCAGTGGACTTCAGACATTTTGCTCCACATTGCTTTGTGACGACTTCTTAAAAGGCTTGCCTAGGAGAGATGCAATCCTGTCACCAGCAGACCCTTCGTGAAGCAGAAACCCCTCCCTGATCAGCTTCCTCCCAGCACTCCACCTCCCAGCCATTGCCAGCAAAGAGCAGGCTGCCTCATTCTTGTTTCCTCTGGCCTTCCACTAGCACCTTGGTTCAGCAGCAAGGCTCTTTCACTGATACTTCTGGTAGTTCTAACTAGCTAGATACATTTAACTTAATTTGACATATGCACATGACTCAAAATTACCACTTAGAAACAAGAGTAAAAACTCTCCTTCCCCAGTCTGCATCCCCAAATCTGCCGTTCCTTCCTCTACAGTACAGTAATTTATCGCTGTAGTTTATATTTCATGTGTTCTTTAGTTCTTCATGGATAGCAAGTACAAATATTAAAGTTATTTCATGGTTTTTGCCCAAATACACCACTTATACACATTTTCCTATTTTTTTTTTTGCTTTATGTATTTTTGTAGGGGAAGTGTCTCCTTATTCTTTTCAGCAGAATCATGTTCCCTTGTGTGAATATGGCTTGTACCAACTTCTGCTGATCTGGCAAATTATAAGAGCATTTATCAATCAATCCAGCAGTGTCTAGCACACAGGAAAAATTTCCTGCCTCCTCAGAAGTCTGTGAGTCTATTTTTCTTAATTAAACCTTGAGGAGTTACTGAATAGGCTAAATGGGGTGTTATTTAGTTGTAATCTGCATTATTATTATTATTATTATTATTATTAGAGTAAGATTAAATCTGTTTTCATTCCTTTGCAAATTGTTCATGTCTTTTGGCCATATTTATATTAGTCTCTTGTAACAGAAATATTCAGTATTTGGTGCTAGTTTCAAATCTTACTCATTGTCTCTAACAATTTCTGGTAAACAAGGAATTCATTGGAATGAATGCTGTATGTTAAGGAATGCTCACCACATTAAAGGCATAGTTCATCATATCTAACTGCAAAATTCTGTGAAAACTTCACCATTTGAAGAACCAGTTATAAAATTTCCATGAATTCATTTTAATTCTCAAATAAATTAAAACTGGTAGAAAACATAACACGGCATGGCAAAATGAAAACAACAGTGGCCAACTCATGCAATCTTCAGACACAGTTAAAGACCTGCAGAAGCAAAACAATGCAGCTCAAAGAAGAAACCAGAAAGCTCATAGACCTCCTCTCACTCTGCCACCAACCTATGCTTTTAAAACCCATTGTTGGCTCTTGCTTCACAGTGTTCAAGGGTCTAGTTCTTGTTTGCTCAGCCGTCCTGTGAGCCTGAACACAAAGACCATACAGCGGTTGAGTTCTACCTGGACAATGATCCAGGCACAGCTGCTGTACCTCTGGTTTTCCAAGTAATCGTGGATCCTCCTGAAGTATGCTTTAATCCGTAACCTAAGGTTCTGCACACTCGGGCCACCACTCTTCTGCTCTGCTTTTAGCCCAGCTAGTGACTCCACAGATGTCAGCTGTTGGTGAAGCGCAGCTAGGACCCTCTCTATACGGCTTTCCTCCCAAATGCCCAGAGAAACATGTGTCTGGAAGAGGCTGAAGGTCTGCTGGAGGATCTCGTGCAGAACAGCCAGGGCATGTCCCTTTTGGTACTGGTGACGACTCACAGGCTGCCAAGGAAGCAGGAAATTCTTCCTGTCTGCTAGACACTGCTGGCTGGATGGGACTGGCAAAGCTTTCAGTAGCTGTAGACTTTCTCCATCCATTCTTGATTGGAAGCGAATCAGTTTCGAGTCTAGGGAGGAGACAGTGCAAGAAGCCAACAGCAGCAGCACCATTTCAGGGAGCTGTTTGTGGATCATGGTGAAGGACAAAAACACTGCTCTCTGTGCTCACCTTGTGAAACTCCAGTTCTAGGCAATGCTGGCCTTTCATCTATCTCAGATTATGACGGACAGCATTCTTTCTGCTGCCTCTGCTTCCTTGTGTGTCATTTCCCCAAGTTAATGTCTTAGGTTTTCTGGTTCCCACTTCAAGGTTTTTATGGAACATTTCCTTTACTCTCCTCATTGTGTTGGCTGTTTGAGGAAGTACTGAAAGAGCGGGCCTCACTGTCTACTTTTCTGGAGACAATTACAGTTGTCCAATCTGATCCGCTACTACCCTCATTATTTATTACATACAAGGTTTCATTTAACACAATGCACTTTCTAAGTGTTTAGTCAGGCTTAGTAATGTTCTTTTATTGAGAGGAAGCTTTTTTTTTAAGCCGTATTATTTCATGGAGTATTATTTATCAAAGCCTTAGCAGTACTTAGACCACACTCAGAGGTAAACACTAAAATCCACAGGCTGATAACTTTGAAACTTCAAGTAGAACTGTAAATGTGCACAAATATTTGGGCAAATGAATCTGAAAATAGGTATCAACAATCTTGGATTGTTTTGTATCTCGTTGAATCCATTTAATATTAAAATTTTAGCTTATAAAATAAAAGTAAAAATTATCAAAAGACTGTGGCTATAGTCTCATGAGAGTAGCAGAGTAGAAACAACCTACAAGAGCAATATAATGGTTACAAATGTGTTGGTTCCTCTACGAACCCATAAGTGATAAAATGATGTATGAGAAGAGACAGAGGCAGGTGGTTGGTCCATCTTCTCTAGGCCAGCTGCGACTACGGTAAACCAACGAGAACATCTCTACAGCAGTAATGGCTCTTAAATGATGAACACCCAGCTCCACATTGCTAAGACCCTCCTGAGTAAGTCTCTGCCTTCTACCTATCTTCTTAGTCTCACCCCACACAGCTGTAGTAAGTGTAGTTGAGGGAACCAGACTCCAGAGAAAGTAAAAGACTCAGTACCCCACAACACAAGTAGTACTCACAAGACTCAGTGCCCTCTTAACACAGCTGGTGTGTTTGCTGATGATTCTTTCTCTCTGAAACATTGCTAGTGTTTCTTTAGTGACTATGGCCTATCTGAGGCCCAAACTCCTCTCTCTCTGTCTCTGTTTCTGTCTCTGTCTCTCTGTGTCCCTCTCCTCTCTCTCTTCTGGAAACCCAGTGTACTTTGTATCCCCTTTAAAATTTCTAACATATGTGAAGCATTTCATCTACCTGTCTTACAACCTCCTCAAATTAAAAGTCTCTTTAGAATATAAAACAAATGAGCTTATTACCTATACGGCCATAGTAAACGTTAGTAAATATTCACTGAGTGAAGTAATGTGTCCTACCATAAAATGATACAGCATATTACATCTCTGATTATTTCTCTGAAGGCAGTTTTTGGGTGAAACAATACATGCTAAAAACACACACCTTTTAAATTTTGTTGTCTCATTAAATGTTTGGATAATGGAATTTAAGCAGTCTCAACATATACCTTCAATGTGGAGCTTTGGGGGAAAGAATACTAAATGGTAATGAGCTCTGATTCACAATCAAGGCTTTCACATAGATTGCTTTGTATTAATTTATTTGTTCTAACAAATAAAATTTAACTTTCAGTAGCTTATACTTCATTCTAAAATTAACTTGTTTTAGCCTATTTTTGTGGCTTGATTGTGACCTGTTTCCTTTATGTTTGGACATTCCTCCCCAGGTGGTGGCACTATTTTGAGGCAATATGGAACCTCTGAGACATGGAGTCTGATGTACACAGGCTGCTGGAGCAAGTCCTAAGGGTTATAACCCGGTCCCACTTCTAGCCCCTTCTCTGTTTTTAAGCTGCCAGGTGTGATGAAGCTATGCCATGAGCTCCCCTCCCACCATGCTTTCCCCACTGCCACGCCTTTCTTGCCATGATGGATGAGACGCTCTGAACTGTGAGCAAATGTAAGTTCTTTCCTAGCTAAGTTGCATCTATTATTGCCACTAGGAGAAAGGCACCTAACATATCATATATATATATATATATATATATATATATATATATATATATATAATCAAAACAATGTATGTTGAGTGCCATTGATATTTTAATATGTGTATCAAATCAGGGCAAACACATCTATCTTCTCATTTATTGTTGCTTTATGGCAAAGACGTTCTAAGTCCTCTTATTCAAGTTTTCAGAAATATCCATTACTGTTTATAGCCACCCTGCTGTTTTCCACACCAAACTCCTTGCTCCCATCTAACTGGAGCTCAGTAACTGTTGGTCGGTCTCCCTCCAACCTTTTGTTTCCTTATTCATCGTCAGCTTCCCTAACCACAGTTCTATTCTTTACCTCTCTGAGATCAACATCTTTAGCTTCCACATGCGAGGTGCTTGGCTCTCTGTACCTGGCTTATTTCAGGTGCCATAATTATCTCCCTTTCCATCCATGCTGTCATAAATGACATAACTTTGTTCTCTTTTTAAAAAAGATTTAAATATCAAAAAAAATTACCTGTGTTGGAAGTGATTAGGGGGCGGTTGTGCATGTGAGTGCAGGTGCCTGTGGAGACAGAAGAGGGCGTAGGATCCCTGAAAGTGGAGTCACAGGCCGTTGTGAGCTGCCTGAAGTGTGTGCTGGAAACTGATCTTGGGTCCTCTCCAAAAGGAGTGTGTGCTCATTCTTCAGCACCTCCTTCTGTTTTCTTAAGGCCAAACCATTTCACGGTGTATGTACAACATTTTCCTCATTCATTCATCTCTCGGTGGGGACACTTGTTTCTGTTCCATGGCTATTGTAATTCCACAGCAAATATGGAAATGAAGATACCTCTTCAGCAGACTGCTTTTATCTTCTCAAGATCTATACCCGGTAGTGAGATTACTGAACCACATGGTAGTTCTACTTTCAATGTCTTGAGGAACCCCCTACTATTTTCTATTATCATACTGATTTATATTCCCACCAACAGTGCTAAATAATTTCCTTTCACACAAATTTCTTTCAGTTTACAATAATGATCTTAAGTTATGTTGGTTTTTAAACATTTGGGAATTTTCCAGATAGTTTTGTGTTATTGATTTCTAATTTGAATGTTGTGATTAAAGACTCTGCTACCTCTGATTGGACCAAGAGCGCTTTCATCCGGTAACTAATGGAAGCAGATGCAGAGATCCACAGCTAAACACCAGACTAAGCTCTGGGAGTCCAGTTGAAGAGAGGGAAGAGGGATTCTATGAGCAAAGGGGGGTTAAGATCATGATGGGGAAATCTACAGAGACAACAGAACCAAGCTCATGGGAACTCACACACTTTAGACCAACAGCTGTGGAGACTGCATGGGACCAGACTGGGTCCTATGTATACAGGAGACAGTTGTGTAGTTTTGTCTGTTTTAAGGGCCCCTGGCAGTGGGATCAGGATCTATCCCTGGTACATGAGCTGGCTTTCTGGAGCCTATTCCCTATGGTGGGATGCCTTCCTCAGCCTTGATGCGGGGGGCAGGGGCTTGGTCCTGCCTCAACTGAATGTACCAGGCTTTGCTGACTCCCCATGTCTTACCCTTTCGGAGGAGGGCATGGAGTGGGAAACGCTTGGGGGGCGGGTGCGGGAGAAGGGATGAGAGGGGGATCTGTGGTTGATATGTAAAATAAATACAAAATTTCTTAAATAAAATAATAAAAAGAATCAAGTTTGAGTTTATTGGTTTTTATGTATCGGAGTATGCTCTACCATGGTGATGCTCCTGGTGAACTTGAAATAATTCTACTTTTGTAGGTGGGACTGGTCTATGAACATCAGATAGGTTCCTGTGGTTGATAGTGTTGAACATTTCCATATTTTCCTGATGTTGTGTTCTGTCAAGAAATAAGTCTTAAAGAGAGTGCCTGCATGAATGAGTGTGTGTGTGTGTGTGTGACAGAGAGAGAGAGAGAGAGAGAGAGAGAGAGAGAGAGAGAGAGAGAGAGGCAGAGACAGACAGAGACAAAGCCTTCCCCCACAGATATCTTGATATTTCCAGCTGTGATTTTAGATTTGTTTTTCTCCCATTTCAGTTACATAATGTGTTTAAAACTGCATTATGTATAACACATTTTGTGTTATTATGTAATCTTGATGAGCTGACTAGATTAAAATGTTCTTCATCTTGTTCTTATTCTGTAATTACCTTTTTCCTGATGTATATTTATGCTTTGTTTTGATTAATTTTGCATGATTCTCTTTTTTGTGTGTTTTTCTTGTAAACATCCCAATGGGTTTATATTCGAAGTGATTTCTGTTATGTAGCATATGCTGGGCTTTATGTTTTATCTGATCTGACAGCCTTTGATTTTTTATCTTTGTGTTTGTGTGTGTGTGGTGTGTGCATGTTTGTGTTCAAGTGAAGTTTTCTTGTCTTCTCTTTATTTCCTTTATTTTTTTAAAAAACAGTATCTTGCTATGTAGCCTAGTCAGGACTAGAACTTTAGCAAAATCCAAATGAATAACCTAAGGGAATATTATTACACTTAAAGCATACTATATCTAGGCAAAAATAAATACAGATTTTTAATATTACAAAAACATTCCTCCACATGTAACTATTTCAAATACCAACCTAATAAACTATCTCCCAGAATCACTAATTGTTACACAGATACAGCAAAGGAATGCACACTTGCTTGGCGTGATTGGGGAAAGATACTTGATTGCATAAGAATCTATTGTCTCCATTTAGTGCATTCAAAAATTTTGTGTTTTTCTTCTGAAGCTTAAATTTCTCTTACTCCAAAGCACTGTTTTCTTCATGATATCAGGCATGATAGTGGTTCAGGAGGGCTCCACTGCATTGACATTGTTGGTGCAAATGGCCATGTTTAAAACAATCACAATGGAGTGTGGGCACATGTGCACAAATGGTTGGATGTAGTTAAATGCATGTGCATAGAGTACCATATCTGATGTTCAGAGCCCTTGAGAATGGACTTACCCAGTGTAAGGACTCTGTTAGGAGAATTTGCTACACACTTAACCTGGAAGGAACAGTGGTGAGGTGTTGGGATGCAGAAAAGGATGATGTTAAACATTACCGAGTATGACAAAAATCTTTAACAAAAATGCAGAATTAATGATGGTAGACTGTCTTTAGCTAGTATGAATTTTATATGTCCTTAACTAAATATTATATAAGTATGTATATATTTCACTTCTATATTTCCATGAGTTATTTATTTATCACTACATTTTATCCAAAAGCATACTAATTTTTATTAAAATTCTAACACTCTGTGTTTAAAATATATCAAAAATAGTTCTGATTAGTGAAGAAGGCATTTAAATTCAACCAAAAGATGGTGGCATAACATAAGTTACCTGTAGCCTAGTGTCTGCTCCTCAATGGGCAAGCAAAACAATGAGTTTTAGCATCTATGAAACTGCGTGATACTATGCAATCAATACATTAACAGACC